CTTGAATTATGACTGTATTTCTGTACTTGAATTATGACTGTATTAAACGGAAAATCAGGCGTAATCGAGAAGAGAGATTCCATTTTGAAGGGATTTCGGTAGTGGAAAAGGCAAAAAAACTTTTAACAAACCACATCAGAAGAAACTTTTTTGGCTAATTGACATTTTAATAATGAACTCAGATAACAGTATGCACCAAAATTGCCGGTGGCATTACGCGTTTTTGCGCAAAACTTGAAACCAATCTGTTACTTTCAACTGTTTTGTTTTTCCATATGTGTAAAGGGAAAACGAGCTTCGGCTGCGATGGCAATATTACATCAAACTTAATCTCCAGCACTTACAACCGCCATGAATTTGTATGTAGGTATTCCCGGCAAAACACATCCTCAAATTTGTCGTTTCCGCGCGCAAGATTTAGATATAAAAGTTGTCTCTGCGGCATATAAAGTAGCCGCACACTGGCCAGGGATGTGCTGGTAAAATTTCAGTTTCCTGGCTTCTATGATTGTGGCTCTGAAAGCGGATGACAATTTTCATTCACCCACTTTCACTCGAACGAACAAATGCACGCCGACAACTTCTTGACAATATGCGTTTTTACTCACTGTTGCGGGCAGTAATGCTGTGCCGCAAAAACGCATAAAAACCATTAATATAATAATATAACAAATAAAATTACTAAAGCTGTGATGATTTAATTTTCTAAAAAAAATATTTGTCAAAATGATCTCTCAAAAAAGGTCTGTTTTGCAGCCCGGTAGTAAGAAGCTAACTTCAAGGTGAAACTACATCTACTACTAGCTGACTGCGAAAAAAGCTTTATTGACTGCAGATATAGAATTAATAGTTTTAACTGTAATGCCTGGAAAGAAAAAATCCTACAAGCCAAGCAAAAATTAGTCTGCGTTAGTCTGGTTCACCGCCATTAACACTTGCCCTTCGGCGCACGGGCGGTGAGACATCCGGAAAAAACCACTTTTTCGAAAAATTCTGATTTTTGAAAGTTTTTCAGCTTTCAATGATGTGAAAGAGCTCTGCAGCGGCAAATGGATGATGTTATAACGTCGCGCGAGCCGATTTATTTCAACCGTTAACATTAAACGAAAAATGAAGCAGTAACGTATAAAATGAATTTTACTTATTCGGTGCAAATTTGGCAGCCAGAAAACCAGCTGGTATTTGTGTTACCAAATAACCGTAAAAAAATGAACTTTCCATAACACCCAGCTCAGTCAGTGTCCAGTTGAATTCTCGCTTCTGAAAATGAATCTTTCGTTACTTTCAAGTTTTGCTTAGCAGTTTGAGTTTTATTTTTGAAACTAGAAGAACGAAGTCAGCTGTTTGTGTGGGTTGATTAAGCTGCTAGTGAAACAGTTTTCTGAAGAGAGCTTGAGTGAGCCCGATCTGAGCAGGGTCTGCTTTGCTTTCTAAACGCCGCTATCAGCTGATTGTTGAAAGGCTGACGAACCACAAAGCACCCATTCTCAGTGAAAGCTTTAAACCAAGATTCGGGGTGATGGACTACTACAGTAATCTGCCGTTTATATTGAGGGACAACTGTACAAAGATGCTAACGTGATGTTTGCCCCAAGGATCGATGTAATCATGAGCCATGTGATTCTTGGCTGCGCCAAAATTACAACGAATACCAAAAACAATCAAAAACCCAAAATTAGCCAAAATGGCAAGCTGCCATCGCTTCGCACAATTACACAGTGAACAGCTGTCGGTGGCCTGAAACAATGCTTAATTAACCAGACGAACCGCAATCAGTTCAGAATACAGCGTCCAGCACTCATCTGTTGCTAAAACTTCGTGATTTTCGATTTCCTGTTTTCCA